GGGGAGTCGTCTCGCTGCGGAGCCTCAGGGAGGGGGCGGAGACTATCTGGGGATGGGCCCGGGTCTAGTGCGGAGGGCCGGCCAAGCCTGTGCTTGGGAGTTCGGTTGGCCCTCCCGGGTAGGTTGGCCCTCTGGGCTCAGCTGCCTCTTCCCTCGCAGTGCAGCTGATTCTGCCTCCGGGGCTGGAGATGGCCCTGGGCCCCGGGCAGGAGTACCGGGCCCTGCAGTTGCATCTGCACTGGGGGGCTGCGGGTCGCCCGGGCTCGGAGCACACGGTTGACGGTCACCGTTTCCCAGCCGAGGTGAGCGCACAGCGGAGAGGCGAAGGGGGGCGCTGGGCCGGGGGTCTTGCCCACTTCTACCCTTTGTTTCTCTCCAGATCCATGTGGTTCACCTCAGCACTGCATTTGCCAAAGTTGATGAGGCCTTGGGACGTCCGGGGGGGCTGGCCGTGTTGGCCGCTTTTCTTCAGGTACCAGCCCTGGACACCCCTATCCCCTGCTTCCCCACGCCCCAGGGCTCAGGGTAGTTTGACCCCAGATACTCCATCCTGGCACACGCAAGCTGGCACCTGGTAGTCCTCATTCACTCATTAATTCACTCAACACCCCCTGTAGGCCAGGCACTGAGCCACACAAAGGATTCCGAAACCGTGGCTCCGCCCACAGCCGGTGGGGGAGGCTGACTTGAAAGACAAAAAGGCACAGACATGGTAGAAAGTGGTCAGAGAAAACTTCACAAAGGTCAAACTTGAAGCCTTCAGTAGTGGGAAAGAAAAGGAGATATTCCAGGCAGAGCCAACAGTGTATGTGGACTAAGAATATGACCCACTCAGGGAATGGCAGGTGGAACGGAGGGGAGAAGAGTAATTTCTTGAATACTCCTATAACCCGTACTTTCCATTTTGTGAAATGCAATAAAGTCTAGAGAAATATTTAGTGACGTCTTTGGACCTGTAACAATCAGGGCTGCATACACAGTGATTAGAAGAGGCTAGGAAAATGGAGGGATGGTGAGATACTTTCTAGGCTCAGTAACTGCCTGACTTTAACGCCAGCCTCACAGCACAAAGTTCAGAGCAGTGCCTCTGAGATAGCATGTCCTTGCTCCCAAAGTCAAACACATGAATTATTAAGGTGAATGTAGAGGAAACGTGAATACAAAGGTTATTATGGCTTTCTGTGGGGAGACCATGAGTGTGTATGTGGAGGTAGGATCAGTGAGACTGGAAAAGATAGTAGGACCCAGGTCACTGAGGGCCTCCTATCCTAGGAGAGTGGCCCACCTTCCTCCTCCTCCAATTTACCCTTGAAAACCAGCCCACCAAGCAGCTTAGGTTCATTTGCAAAATAAAAGTAAATTGAGTAGTAATACACAGATTTTGTGTTCTCCCAGCATTCTCAGAGCTGAGAAAGGGGGGGAGGGGAGGTATGGGAAGCCCACCTCACCTTCAGGCCTCCAGCCATGCATGGCCTTAGATACCTGTAAGAACCTGTCTTGTACTGTCATTTCCCAGGAGGGCCCAGAAGAAAACAGTGCCTATGAGCAGCTGCTGTCACATTTGGAAGAAATCACTGAGGAAGGTCAGTTTGTTGGTTTGGCCACTACCCTCGATACCCTTGTTCATAAAGAACTCTCCTTGGGGAGCCTCAGGTGTGAGGATGGAGATGGGCTCCCTCCCAAATGCAGGGAACCAATGTGTGAACTAACTATGATCTTGACAGTAATTATAAAGCTGAGCAGAGGCCCACAGGCTTTATGGCTAAAAACAAAAACAAACAGACGAAAACCTCATCCCATCCCCCCAAAAAACCCAAACCCCACAAAACCCCAAATCAAACAAAAACCAAAAGAAGATAGAAAAAAAGAGAAAAAAAAAAAAAAGCGTTTGGAACTTCAGAGGTTGAGTCCAGGGAGCTAATATTTTTCTGAAAACTGTCTATTTCTCCTTCATAAGCATCAACTATTTTATTTATTTTTTATTTTTTTAAAGGTTTTTATTTATTTATTCATGAGAGACAGAGAGAGAGAGAGGCAGAGGGAGAAGCAGGCTCCCAAGGAGCAGAGAGCCTGATGCGGGACTCGATCCCAG